AAGTCTTGACCCCAAACAGACCATTAAAGGGGGGGTCACAAAGTGAGGACCGGCCAAAATTTCCTCACTTTGACAAAAAATGTCCTCACTCCGTAGGTTAAAGGCTAAAACTGGTCCTCACAAAGATAGCTGTACAAACACATGTATGCAGTGGCTATTGAAAGTGTAATCTCTTATTCATCTCCCTTCATCCTCCACTCTTTCTGTAATTTTACATATTTCATCTTTTACAATCTGGAATGTGGATGTGTTCTTTTCCCATTAATCAGCACACAAATCTCAAAATGCAAATATAAGCAATATATTGACAATGTAAATTAAGTTTAAAAAGTTTAACAATTTAGCCCATGTGTAGTGAAACAGCTGCAGCTCAAGTTGTACACCACAAATTCTGGACTGAAGTCTCCAAGACATTTTATTTTCTCTACACAGTCCCTGTTCAGTTGTTCGTCTTCTTTGTCTTATTGAAAAATACATTTTACAGGACTTCTTTCACAGGTGTTTCTTCAGGATTCAGGATACACAGAATATTTTCTGTACACTGAATGTCAAGAGCAAGCAAAAGTGCCTCAACAACTTTATCTCCGAAATGTTTCTCTGTAGTTATTTATTGTGTATTGTAATCTGTCAACTAAGTTTTTATATAAATATCATTAATACATTCTTCGTGATCTTTATTGGACACACGGGACTTCAGTTCAAGACGTTTCTTTGAATGTGGTGACGAGACCCTTAAAGATTCAGGGGACTCAGAACTTTATGTTGAAAACTTAAAAATGACCACACCAGTGATTTAGATTACAATTACATGCAAGCAATTGTTACATAATTGCTTGCAGTTAATTTTGAGTCTCATACAGTATCTTAACTTGATTTCTATGTTTTATTGTTTAACAGTTTGTGGAACATTAGAAGTACTATACAATTCAGAGATGCAGTCTTCTCTCTTCACTGCATATCAGAAAGCAGCTGCTGCTACAGCAACTGAATTTCAGGTCTTCATTCATCACTAATGGGGACAGTCCTTTCATTTCAATCTTGCTTACCAGCGCCCACTGCTGGATCAGAGCTGCAGGACATCTTGCTCTCAGACACTGACAGGTCATCACCACCTGAGGAGGTAGAATGATACAGTATAACACAAACTGTGATAAAACCTCAGCTGTATATGCTGTAAATGACTTTCCTGTACAACTGAATCATCAGGTGTTATTGTAGAAAACAAGCTCCTTAACTCTGCAGTGTACAAGGCAGCTGCTCACTCACATGATAAACCCTTTCTACAAAAGACAACCTGCTCCAGCATTATTCCTCAGCTCTTTGTCCTCTGTCCATTTTGCAAGTGAAAACATTCATGGTCCCCGTGTTTCATTGTCTATCTGTATGTGGCAGGTTAGTTTACTCCCACTGGCCTTATCTTGTCTTTTGCTATGAGTTGCAGCTGATAGGCCAGTGACTGAAAAATACATACTGATGGAAAAGCATGAACATATACATTCAATTTATACTATATATATTTCAAGGTCATCTATTGAGGAAAATATCTGGATTCAACATATCAGATATGTACAGTATATGCGATAGTCCTTGCAAATGGTTCAAATTAGCTGCACACTAATAAGATCACTGAGTCTTGTAAATTAACATCTCCCAACCATGAAGCCTACAATTTACGTTTTTATTTTTTTCTTCATTTATTAATCAACACACATTTTATACTTGTATATTTAATTTCTGCGTGGAAGAAATTAAACCCCCAAAGCCCTAATCATACAATTAAGTTATATTCCTTTACTTAATCATCTCCTCTTCCACTTGCCAACACATTTTATCTTGTTATTCCGCTATTCATTTGTGGAATTATGAATCAATAATGAGTAATTTGAAACAACACGGTACTACACCTAGATGAGGGTGGGTAAGTGAGTGTGCATGTGTTTGTGTGTGTGTTTGTGTGTGTGCGTGCATTTTTGTTTCGAATCAACTCTCTGTTCAAGCATTGCCAACAAGGCTAATTCAGTTTAAGCAACAACAACACAGACATTCTTGTATTTTTCTTGAACATTAAATTAGAACTATAAAGCTTAATATTGCTACTGTGGCCGATGAAATAGAACATTTGGAGTCATGGTTAACAATGCAAATTATTTATATTATTGGCAGTGGAAACTGATTAAAGATGAAAAAGAAAGAATCAGTGTGACATCAGTTAGAGACGGAGAGTCCTCTCTTGAACACAGCCCATTGGAGGCATCTTTAAATAGACTCAGGATGTCCAAACGTAGACACAGAGCTGCTATCTATAAAACAGAGCCCCCTTCCATTCTGCACCGCCATTACTCTGAAACTGCACAGTCATCCCCTATTGGACTGAATGCCAAAACATGTCATGCTTATGTATTTATTACCCAATAAATACACAGCAGGCCTATATGACAATTCATAAAATATTTCATTTCAAAAGTTTATGCAAATGTAAAGAAAAGCCACTGACTGAAACAAAGACAGAATGGGCCGATCACAAACACACAAACATCAACAGTGTTTACCTGCACCTTGAGTTGTCCTTTGGAGCCAGACCAGCAGACAGACCAGCAGACAGACCAGCAGCAGCGTGACAGTGAAAAAACACTGGGCTGAGAGGATGACCGGGTACCACATCCTCTCTGGGTCTGCTCTGTATTAATAGCTTTGATATCCCAACACATAAGTGTAAATGCATGGTGGGTAATCAGATACAACCTGCCATAGATAATCACGGTCTGAATTTTAATCAAATTTGGCTGTATAATAAATATATAAAAAATATGCTGACGCCATCTTAGCTGCTTAATTCATTAACGTTTCCTATAACTGAACTCTTGTTATTTTAATGGATTAACATTCAAAGTTAAAGCTCTTGGTTTATATTTGCAGGTATTAATTACAGGGATTTCAAACAGGACTTACACAGAAGATACCAATGTAAATAAGCATAGATCAACACTGTTGTAACATTGGTCTGACTTTGATGTGCAAGGGTTGCAGTAACGGAATGTATGCAGTCTCAACATAAGCATATACATACATGTACAGTTTTTTGGAGAGGCCCCCTGAACATATCCACTAAAATGTCTCCAACTTGGCTCTTCTTCACTTTATCAGAGTAAGGTTTGGCACAGGTAATATTCAGTTGTTTTGATATGGACTTCTGGAGGTTTTGGGATTCATCTGCCTGATTTAAAGAGTTTATTCAATCTTAACTGTAAATCTTTCATTTATTTTGTGTTCCTTGTTCATTTACTCTGACCCAGTAACATCTGTACTGCTTACACTTCTGTTGAAATAGTTACCTTTATATAGATACCAAGATCTTTCATATAAACCCTGGAGTTGTTGAGTTATACACTATTAATTTTAAGCAGGTCATTTTCGAGCAGGGGACTGAAAAAAGGGCCAAATAAAATTTTAACATCCAGAACTCAACTCAAAAACCTCAGAGAAAGAAACAGCTTACAGGAGCGCACACAAACAAGCAGACCATGATAGTTAAAGAGGACTTGTAAAAAAACCATCTATTTTTGTCACAGACACACACAGTCTCAGGTGATGTTTGTGTTCTGGCTATTTGTGCAGATTCCGTCCAACACATGCGTAGCCCCTCCTGGTGGGGGAGACCAGCTCTCTCCTGAGGCAAACCCCGATCGATACAACCATTTCCAGGTAATCCCACCTCCTCTCTTCACCGCACAGTGTTAACATTCGCACAGCCCATAATAAACTATATGGATCAATACAACAACAGTTCCAAACAAAACACTTCCACCTCAGCTAATGCGGTGAAATGTGAACTGGATATTGTTACAATCTGATCCCTCACATTCTGCAATAATCTGAATCACAGAACACAGTAAGTAAGTTCACGCCAAGTAAAGGAGGATGGGATGTTCTCTAGCAACATGTTGAACGGTTACACAGTTCTCACGGATTGCACAATGGTTTTCCGACGAGTATGAATAATTTCAATTTGTATCTGACATTAAGAAATACGACGTTGCATATTAAACAATAAATTAACATTTTTCCACTTCTTATTATGATTATTTCCTCCCCTCTTTCTTTTTTAACACTCTCTACAGTCTGTATCTCTCTTTCGACCTATGGAACAATTTGTTACCACAGCTAGTTATCAAGTCAGTATGTTCACCAGGTGCTAAATTATCCATTTCAATTTATTTCACATATTCTCACAAACCTGTAGAGACGCAGGCTGTAGTTGTAACAGATAATTGTGACTTAGCATCTTGGAAACTACAACAGTAAGTCAGAGTGATCATACTCA